GCATAAAATCTGAAGGAATTCCAAACCCTAGCACTTGGGTTTAGAAAACTACTAGGATTCAGTAACTCTCCATTTGCTTCTTCAAGATTAACGTTGGGTTGCCAAACATTCTTGAAACCACCTGTCTTCAATTTCCCATTCACTTTATCAATTCTCCAATTCCATCCAATTACCTACTAATGTTAACCAACTGAAAAAGAAAAGGTTGGGATATTTTAGAACTTAAGTTATTTATCCCAGATCTCTTTCTCAACTGCTTTTTGACACTAAGGGGGGGGGGGAAATCACTTATACCTTTTGTTCCACTGTTTTCCTGATTACAATTAGCAAATATTTGAATACTTCCTTTATGTAATGCACTAGCTATGAGAAAAATGTACTTTAATGAAAAAAGACTCTGCCCTTTAAATCCCTGTTCTGCTACTTATTTATGTAACCTTGAGCAAGTCGCAACTAAGGAGCCTCAGTTTCTTCAGCTGATAATGGGAATGATCTCTACTTCACTGGATTCCTATTGAGAATAAGGATGACACTGAAGTTTGAAGAGTTTAAAAAGTTCTAAAACACTAAACAAGTAACAATATAAACACTACCAACTGTTACCACATGGGATACAAAGCCATTTAAGACTTTACTCATGCTGTCAAAGAACTGATACTCTAGCCCAAACTGTCAACTGAGCAGTTGATACGGGTTTTATCTTGTCAACCAGTGATTTTCCAAAATGAGAAGACAATCCATTAAAATATCAGAAAGAAAAATCTTATAATTTCGATTTCTATTTGTAGCATAGAAATAAAATTGAAAACCAACCTCCACTATTATTTAATATACAAAGCAACACTGATAACCCCACTCAGTTCCAATGTCAGATGTTCACCTGTTATGTGCAGTATGCTGCCTAAAGATGGTTAGGACACAGCACATTCCCTTTTACATGTGCGTGCTTAAACTCACTTATGTACATCTGATGTAATTAAGCTAACTCGCACAAAATGAACATGTGGCTTAAAATAATACTTGCAAAGAAACCAGGATTTGCAAACACTAATGATGTAAATATAAGAAAACAACAAAGCTTACATTTGCCCTATTCCTGGTATGAGTTTTTGAAAACATGTTTTGAAATGGTTCCAGCGTTGCGGTATTCACTTTTTAATCTGTTTTATCAATAAAGCAAATGTCTCCATTTTAAAATTTGCCCATTAAATTGTCATCATTTAACACCAAACATCATTTAAATACCAAACAGTAATTCTTCTAAACTACCAGTGACACTTTCATACTTTTAACAAAATGTGTCAAAATTAAAATTCTTTACTTGAAACATTTTAACTAGAAAATTGTTTCCAAATGTTGAAAATTGGCAGTAATAAAAATGACGGGTAACAGAAATCCTTACATTGCTTTTGGCAACAAAATCATGATAATGAAACATAGTTTTACATTGTTTCCGAAGAATATCATAATGAGATATATTTTGGCAGGACATGTTTTTGTGACAATAAATAAATCAAATATTTAATCATTTAATATTATTTCATGTTTGATAGCAAACATGTTAGTATAGTAGTGCATGTATATAATTTTTTAAATGTATGTATACATACTATGGAATACCTATTAAAAATGTGGACATCTAGGTCTAATCCATCAATATCATTCACCATTTCAGAAAAGAACACCTTGCATGAAGTTAAATGGTTTGACGATACACCACACATATAGAGAGATTACATTCCAGCAATACTGAAGAACAAAGAGCGTTTATTCAATTTTTTGCCATTTGTTTACTGTACATGTCTACGTAAGCGCAGATTAACTGCTTCCATCTGCTGTCAGGTCTGGAGTGTGAATGAAGCCATTAGATGGCAACAAAGGAGAAGAAGGCATCTTTTGCTAAATTGATATTTTTCCAACCCAACCAAGAGTGTCACATCTTACCTCAGAAACAAACTTCCCTGGCAGTTTCAAGGATTAGTTTCCGTTTTCTGCCCACTAACCAGACTTAACCATTTATTTAAAAAGTTGAATTTTAATGAATTGTGAGACTGCCAGGAAATTGCTGCGGTGGTCGCAACCAAATAACCTCCAGCATTTTACTGAAGGAACTGGCAATCAGATTTACATATGAAAATGGCGGGCCATAAATTTATTTCCAGGGCTGAAAAGATGTTCCATTTAAACCAAAACATATGTTCTAGAACTAGTTCAGAAAACAGCAATTTGACACCCAGCAAGGTAGACAAAGTCCCTTGGCTCATTCCTCACTTATTTGCTCATAATCTCTTAAACTGTAAGGTTGTTAGAAATTTTAGAGTTCATCGACTCTAACCTTTAGCTGGTGCTTCTTAAGGAGGGGGTGGGGGCACAGCCCACAGCACCCTAGGCTAGTTTGAGTCCTTGGTTATCCAGGCTTTGGGGAACCACTGCAGTCACAGATAAAGCTCACTATTTCCCCATGACAGCTAATTTACTTTTTAGTAATTCTGAAAGTTAGAACTTCACTATTTTTAACTCTGAGGTTTATCTTAGCCCCTACAGTCTCACACAAAAAATTAAAATATAATATATAAGCAGAATAAAATGTTAAAGTCTCATCTGTTTTCTACAAAGTCATTCAAAAACTATGGCCTGAGGGTCTACCGTAGCCTCTAAGGACACAAAGTAAAAATACTTTCAGAAACACAACAATAAAACAACAGAACAACACAATGGTATATTATTCAATTTTCTTTCTCTTACAAATATTTATTGAAGCCCTATTATTTATCACATATTGAACTATACATAAGGAATAAAATGGTCATTAATACAACGTTGATCATTGCCCTCACGGAGTTTAAAGGCCAGAGGAAAGGACAAACAGGCAATTACAACAGAGAATGCTAAACAGTAATCTATTATGGGGCCTACTAACACAAATACCTGCAATTTTGTACCCAAGTTTTCTCTTTCATAATCAAACCAAACATTTAGATGCAAAGATACTCAAAGAAACGGGAAAAAAAAAACACTTTAGTACGGGTGATTTTAGATGCCTTGCTAAATATATTCTTATACACATTGGTTGCTTTGTCAGTATTTACATCCGGACAATCAGTTTGAAAATACACAACTCTTACAGAACGCTGTAAGTATGTAACCTCATATTTTTTTTAGAACAGAGGACCAAAAATATAAACATAGCACCGTTCCTGATTTGGGCTTCTAGAACCCTATAGAATTAATTCTTTGTAAGCTGGTATTACTTTTGAAGTCTTTGAAAAGACGAGAGAAATGTGGATAATTTTCCAAACTAAAGTTCCAAGATAAAGTTCTACATGCATTAGGTGCTGAAGATACACAGATCTTCAGTCTGGAAGAAGATGACACGCTATCAAGTCATTCCTTTTACAGCAGAGTTAGTACTACCAGGGCAGAGATACCTGCGAAGTACAATTGGAACCAAAATAAGAGCATTCCTCCCAGTAAGGGAGAAAGCTGGGGAATTTCACAGAGGTGGCATCAAGATCCTGAGTGACAAAGAATCATCAGGATAGGGCTTCCCTGGTGGCGCAGTGGTTGAGAGTCCGCCTGCCGATACAGGGGACGTGGGCTCGTGCCCCGGGCCGGGAAGATCCCACATGCCGCTCACCGGCTGGGCCCACGAGCCATGGCCGTTGAGCCTGCGCATCCGGAGCCTGTGCTCTGCAACAGGAGAGGCCACAACAGTGAGAGGCCCGCGTACCGCAAAAAAAAAAGAATCATCAGGAGAGAAGAAAGTATCCAGGTGGCAGTCGGATGTACTCTTATTTAGTTTTTATAAGATATAACCTTCCCAGAACAGCAGACCAGTGCCTCTCAAATGATATAAATAATTATCTGAACCAATAAAGTAGTGACAACCTACTATCTAGAGAAAGACTCTTCCACTCAAGAAGCAATTCAAGGGATGCAGAGAAGTCCTCCCAGACAATAAGAATTAGGTGTAGCCCCACATTTTTGGTTTGCCAAGGCTGATGTTTAATCAGCTCTAAACAAATGAGGAGGAGACTAGTCCATTGTTTATTAACAGGAAAGACCTAAAAGACAGCAATCAGTTTGAACAATAGTGTAATTAAGAAAAGAAAACTTGGGCTTCCCTGGTGGCGCAGTGGTTGAGAGTCCCCCTGCCGATGCAGGGGACACGGGTTCGTGCCCCAGTCCGGGAGGATCCCACATGCCGCAGAGCGGCTGGGCCCGTGAGCCATGACCTCTGAGCCTGCGTGTCCGGAGCCTGTGCTCCGCAACGGGAGAGGCCACAACAGTGACAGGCCCGCGTACCGCAAAAAAAAAAAAAGAAAAGTAAACTTAGCAAGGGTACTTAACTTGAAGGTTACAAAACTCTCCTTCAATTTGGAGAACCATAAAGAGAAGGAAAAAGTAAATTTTTGTCTTGAATAAGGGACCTGGGCTTAGGAAAGAAAGTCAGTAGCCTCATTTGGTAAGGAAATCTAAGGTTCAAGCCAATTCTTCTCCTAAAATTTCAACAAGAGCCAATACAGTGCACTGAACTAACATTTGTGATGCTTACAGACTATGATTCACCAGAAAACCTGCCCAAAATGTGACTTCAAGTACCAATACTTGTTTGTGAAACAAACTTGACAAATAGCCCATATCATTCTACAGTTAGAAGCTGTGTGAGTTTAAGCACTGTATGAGACTAATTTTCCCTATCTGAAAATTGAAGCTAGTAATATCTACTTCATGGGATTTTTGTAACATAAAGCATGTCAAGTTCTTAGCACAAGGCTGGCACCTAATTTTAAAAAACACCAAAAAAAATGTATTAATCATATCATCTTTCTGGGCAGGGGTACTGCAGATCTATGATCTATAAAAAGAGACCCTTCAGCCGTTTGGTTTATCTCAGAAAGCCTCCTCCCCCAAACATGTCCCCCTGGGACCATCTTCCCACCCATGATGTATCTGTACATCTCAAGATATTCTGAAGCCTAATTTTATTCTTATAATAGGTGTCGGGGCTCCTCAAGGTAATTAGAGAAAGAGAAGGCACTTGGGAAGTTCATTTAACTGTGAGTAAAATTTGCACTGTTAACAAAATCAAACAAATAAGTCAAGTCCTAAAAGCAGTCTGAAAAAATCATTTCAACAGAAGAGTTTTCAAAAGAGAAAATAAGAAAGAAATGTATGTTGCATATTGTTCCTTTTATTCAAAGGCTGAAGGGCGAAGCCACCTAAGACTTCCAGATTTTTTTTCTTTTTCCTGCTTGTTCTTTGGTTGTTCACATTCCAGAATGGCAGTTGCTGCTTTCCAAGGAAGTGTTCAGGAGGGCAGCTGCCTTGGAGGTAGGTTACCAGGACTCCTTTGTATGTTACATGCACATAAAGACTCCAGAAGGGACTGTAGCTGCTAGAGGCCTCTGCTAGCTGTTAGAGGTAGGTAGGTCCACTGCCGCATGCTGCTCTGCCTCTTGCCTCTTAGCCCCAAAGTCTGTTTTTGGCTGTGGTTTTAAAAAAGCCCCTCAACAGATGCTCTATTTAATAACTAAAAGACAATAAAAACTAGAGTTACAAGCCAACAAGGATCATACTGTCTCTTAAAAATTTAAACATATTAATTTCTTTAAGTGAAAAAAAAATACTAGTATTTAGTATTTCAGATGCAGGTGTTTTTTCATGCTATTTAAGACATTCACAAAAAGCCGCCATTCTCAACAGCTGAATGCTTAAGCAATACATATCGTGCATGCAGCCAACATGCTCAAGAAGCACATGCAGATGCATTTTAAGTTAAATGCTACCAAATAAGCCTAATATAGTTTTGAAATGTAGTTAAGAAAGAGGCTAATCTAGCAACCGAGACATAATAACATATACGCCTTACAAATTCTAAATGTAGGCTTAATGCTACTTGGATCAATGTTTCTAGGTACAAGGCTATTTATCCCATTTACAGATCAAATACTAGGGTCAATCTTTTCTGCTGGTAGAAGCATCTCCCTAATAAGGAGAAAGAATGAAAGTTTTAAGACAGAATTTTGTAAACTGCATTCTGAGAATACCTTAAATTTTTGTGAGGAAATAATGGTAAACTTATTTTAGAAAACCTTCCTATCATATCTCCCTTCTCAGCTATCACCATACAGTATATTAAAGATTGTGAGAAGTTCTGAAAGAAAACTATTTAAGGCAGTCTACACTTACTCAATTACCAGAAATAAATTCAGAAGAAAGAGCTTATTGGTTTCAGCTCTAATTTTCACTTTGATGTTTTATTAGTGGCTGCCTAGAACAACCTTTAAAGCTTAACAAGATGAAGCGATACAACTTATGAGTAATCCTTTCCTGGCACATGTGTGGGCCACCGCTGGCCCATTAAACAGTTTGAAAAACGCTGATACAGGATAAGGCTCTGGTGCTTTCAACACTTGCCCCAGTTCCCTTTTTCATATCTCACTTCCTTACTTAAGAGCTAAGTAAAAGAGGAAGGGAAAGGGGAAAATCTGTTATATGAAATGTAAGGGAGGGTAAGTCCCTATTAACTTTTTCTCTCTAACCACCCATTTTTCCATCAAAATTTTAGACATCTCAATTTATGGATCCAGAGAGAGCAATGATTAAAACATCTATTCTGAAAGTGTGAGGAGAATGTACAGAGTGAAAAAGATCCTCTTCTCCCTAGTCAACAGTCTGTTCTGAGAAGGAATCAGTTTAAAAAATGATAGGTGATGTCTCAAAGGGATGACTAACAGGTACGTCAATTTCTCTGGCAGAGCCACCTTCTCTACTGGAAGACAACTAAAATGCCATGGTTCACATGGGTCCCTCTTGAGTCTTTTTAGAAAAGAATGAGCAACCTCAGGCAGCATAGCTACTTCAAGGATGTGAACTGAATTTGAACCAACCTTTCCTTAACTGGGTCTTTATCTTTTTGGTTTCATGTCCACTTACGTTATAAGCATCATGCCTGAGAAAGCTAATCTGATGTGTGCAAACAGAACATACTAACATGAAAATAAATAGTGAAGGCACATAAGAAGTAGCAAATAAGCAGGCTCAAGCAAGAAATCTATAAGAAAACCATAATCTCTCTGTTCTCCATCTTCCTCTCCCTGATGAGTAAATAAGCATTAATTTTTATAAGCCACCAAGGAGGAGGGAAGCTTGCTTTTAGTAAGAAAGTTAAAAATATTTCAATGGAGCTCACCCAGTTTGTTCCTCAGGTGTGGCATATCATATATCCCCACAGTTCCCAGTTGCATGAAAAACTGACTGATAAAATCAGTGACATCCTACGAAGGGTTCACAATGGAAAACTGAGTCATTACGTTGAGATTAAGCAACATCATGAAAGAAAACAAATACCCAGACATGTGTTAAGTGCTTAACTTCTGATTCTTTTCCTCAATTTAAACACTTTTAAAAGTAAACATCAAGTTATTTTTTTAAAAAAAGACAAACTCATCTTGGTGTGTTGAATCTGTATCAAAACAGGTAAATCTATCCCAATAACAAATATTCTGAAAGTTTGTTATATCTTAAAAATGAACCCAGAAGGCACAACAGAAAAATTGCGAGAGACTCCCAAATCCTTTACTGTAGGAACACATGATTCACATTTCTAACTGTTGTGACAAGCTTGAAATTTGTAAGTCACTAGCACACAAAATGGGTAAATAAATCCTCTGGTATGGATTTCCCAACATACTGTTCTTGTTTTGAGTACCAACCTGCTTTAGAAATACTCACGGTCGTGTTTTTAGCTTATAGTTCTACAAAGACTGGTAGGTCCCAAACAAAAACTCAATTAGAAATCAGTGAAGTCTGCTTAACTATCCCCAAATTCAGTTTTCAGCCTAATGAGTCTAGTTTCCCTTCTATGCATCTTCTTCAGCCCTTGAGTAGCTTAATGTTCAAAATAAAATCTGAGTTCATTCGCTACTGCCCCCTTTTACAGCCTCAGAGAAAGTAAAGTGAGAAACAGTAAAAGGTTAGAAAGCTTATGCAACTTGAGGGTATTCTTTGAAGCTGTGTTTGTTTCATACCACTTCCTTCCTTGGCAATTCCGTAGAGGACGGTGTAGAGGAGCTTTATACATGCTCATGGTAAAAAATGAACAAATTCCACAGAAGTGTAAAGAAGAAAAAAACAATTGCTTACCCACCCATCACAAAGTCAGCCGTAATCAAACATCCTTTACATTGTTTTGTTACATTGCGTGTTTCTATATAAGAGGTTGGTTGTTTTTCATCTGCAGGTACTTTTAAAGGGTGCAAATTTATTGGAGTGTGCCAATTATAATCAAATGGTAATGCTATTAAAATTTGATAGTCTTAGAAACTGGCTTGTGCAGATGGTCTTTTATTTTGGCCAGCGCATTATTTTAAAGGAAAACTGAATCTGAATGTCTCTAGGAAAGTTTCCATTTTGCCATAGGTTGAATAACTCCTTACTGTTTTACAAAAGTTGTTTTAAATGCTTAGGTATTTGCCTGGGTGAGCCCTAAATTCATGTGAGTTTGTAACCCCGCCAAAGTTTTCTGATAACTGAATCTATGCTGGAAGTTGAGTAGAAAAAAAGTGTCTTTCAAAAATATACACCTAGTGCTTCCTGCCTAACTCAAACTATGTATAAATTTCCAGTGTCAAGATTTCCTTCCAAGCTTTTATCTAGCTTGAAGTCCTATGTAAAAAAAAAAAAAAAAAAAAAAAATCATCCCCACTCCACTCCCAATTTCTTAAGCAGTTAAAACCAAGGGAAAAAAGGTCGAAGAACTTCAATTCATGAACAATTCTGCTTATTTTCCAGGTGAGGCCTGAATAAGTAGAACTTAATAAAAGCAAGTTCCTAGCAATAAAAGTGGTGTCACAACCGCTCCCAAGTTGGCATGCAGGGAGAATGATGCGGAAGCTGTCTGTTCTGTTGAGCTGCAGGCTGATCTGGGGGAACAGAGGAACAGAAGGCGGAGCAGGAACCTAATAGAATACCTTGCATGTAACACCCGCTCAGCAAACTAGCAGGAACAACTCTAAGAAACAACCTCATGAAAGCATATCTGAAGAGGGCAAAAGGAAACAAGTGGTAGGGTCTGCTATGAGTTAAGGAAGACTCCTGGAAATCCAACTGATTTGTAGAATAACAGTGGAGGGTCTAAATGGCAAAAATTTGTCAGATATTTCTGCAATAGCAGTAGGTTGAGTGGATTATGGTGTAGTTTACATAAGGCACCTAAACTTGAATAGTAAACACTGCTTATATCTTGATAATTGTTCTTTTTTAAAAATAAATTATTTTTCATTTAAAAGATACTTCTAAAATCTGTAGGAAAAAAATCTCACATGCTTTATTCATTAAATAGGTGAGCTTTCTTGAGTTACACACCCAGCGTGGATTCCCCAGCACCACTGTAGGAAATACCCCGAGGCTTACGGTAAAATCCAGCAAGCCTTTTATGTTAACAAGTACCATTCCAAAAGTGTTTGACTGCCCTATTATGTAAAGTCAACTCCACTGTATCATTTTTCTTAAATTTGTTAAATTCTGCTACTCCCCATTACTTTTTCAGTTGGATTTGCTAAAAGAACATGGCACTTTATCACTCTGCAAAATATGTTTATCTGGAACTACTTGATTGTGTTAAGAGAAAGTTTAAAATCAAGTATCTTGTGTACGTTCTGCTCTGCTTATTGAAATTATGATCCTTATCACATGATCTAACTACTGACCAGAGTGGCTGATTTGTTAGGAGGAAAAGAAAACATGGTCCTGATAATGGTTCTGGTCAAATGAACACTTTAAAAAATACACTGAAATCAGTAGCAGAAGAACACTCTTCTACTTTTATTCCTAATAAGAGAATGCTGTCCAGAAGCATATGATCAGGTAGGGTTCTACCCTACAACAGTGTATACACTGACTCTTCCCACATATGGTTGAGAACACTTACAACTTCATTTGGCTTTAAAAAGCCTTTATTGATCTGCAACTAATGTTCTGAGGCTACAGAAAAATACCAAATTTGCTTATACTGTGACTTAAAGAGAAATAGAGTTGACCCTTGAACAAAGGAACAATGCAGGGTTTGGGGCACCAACCCTCCAAGTAGTTGAAAACCCACCTATAACTTATAGCCAGCCCTCAATATACGGGTTTCCACATCTAAGGAATCAACCAACCCTGGATCACCATTTGCAGATTCAGCTAACCTCGGATTGTGTATATATTTACTATAGTATTTATTATTGAAAAGAAAATCTCTGTATAAGTGGACCTACGCAGTTCAAACCTGTGTTGTTCAAGGGTCAACTGTACAAAGAAGTGTTCCGATTCCTCATTCAGCTACCAGCCATTCCCTCTATCCCCACCATCTCCGGACTCCTATTCAAGCTGAGAGCAGACAGACTGATGGGAAAATATTACCGGAGGGAAACTGCCCTTGCCTGTTTCTGATTATGTCTCAGGTAAGTAATGGTGTCATTAGAAGTTCCACCACCAGTTTCTCCAATTCTACAGAACTGAAGAATGAAAAGTCTTCTAAGCCAAATGGGTAAAACTATTCACTCATCTATTTATATACTACACCCTATCTTGTACTTAAGTAATTTATGCAACGTATCTCTCAACTGAATTCTACTTCATTTTCATGTTTTAAATAAATATCGATTACCTATTTTGTATCAACAAAAGGAGAAGAGGAGGGAGAGGTGGGAAAAAGGAGGGGCAAGAGGAAGTGGAGGAAGGAGGAAGGTACATGGTAACAACTGTCTTGAATATTTCTTTCCTTGTGCCTCAATTCCATAGGCAATTCACTCCCCACCTGAAGGCAAAGAACTTTTGAAGGACTGTAACAGAGTACCTACAAAGGTCTACAAAGCCCTAGGCTCGTCAATATGCAGACCAAGAATTATATTCAGATGGAATCACATTTATTGCATACACACTACAATTTTTAAAACTCATACAGATACTGCTATGATTTTTAAAAATACATAGTATCTAGGGGTGATATTTAAAAATATTTAATAACTGGTCAAGCATGGGCTTCAACTAATAAAACAGACTGCTGGCCCTCAATGGCCAGCATGGATGGACTGGTTCCCACCAGCTGAATATCAGACAGCCAATCCAGGTGAGGGAGACAACTTTCCCCATCTCTCTTTTCTTTTTTCAATTAAGAAGGGGTCCTCGTAGTTAAAAAAAAAAAAAAAAAAAAATTGGGCATTACTATTCTTAGAAATTTGGTTGGCTCAGATGTTAACAACATATCCTAGTTAGTGATTAAGCCACAACCCACATGAACGATCACAATAAATTTAGAAATTAGTCTTTTCCTGGTGCTTTGTCTTTCATCATCTTTAACAGAATCATTCCCTCACCTTCCCACAAATTCCTGTAATTGGCCAACTCTTACCAGATGTTTTAAAGGCTACCGACACTAACCCATGAAAAACTGTCTTTACTTATACTTTATTTAGAATAAGAAACAGCTAGTCTCAGGTTTGCATATTCAATTTAGTTAAACCATTTAATACCCTGCTAATAGGAAACGTTCCAACTTCAGAAGGATATCTGGGATGGACTGCAATTTGTGCTCAAGTATTTTACCTTAGAGTGTGTCTGCAATTAGAAGCAATGTGTAAGACCATAAGAATGGACAACAGTTCTTCCCTAGTGAGAGAAGAAAACAAGCTGGGCTGGCCAGGCTACCTTCTGCTTTCATTAGCCCAAGGAGTAACTCCAAGGCTCTCCATCTCTGTCCCACTTTAGTCAAATAAATTATTCACATTAATATATTTAGTACATTATACTAGTTCAATGAGTCATTTAGGTCAATTTCTCAAAGCTAACAAACGATGATAAGAGGGACAGTATAATAACCTCAAGATAATAAAAAAAACCCTATCTTTCCAACAGATTCAGTACAAAGCCAAGTGACTAAGGCAACAATTAGAAATAAAGATGTAGTTATAAAGAAAATAAAGAATTTAGTCATACTTACCAAAATGTAAATTTAAATAGAGATGGATCATACATACTCAAATATAGATCATGTATTTTTTTAAACCTACTGAAGTTATAATTTTAAATAAAGTGGCAAAATGACACCATCTAATTTCTCTTCAGAAAATTGGTATCCATTCTGGTTATCTTCTTAATCTAAAATTAAAATACTGAGGGTCTCCTCATTAGAAGAAGCTTCAGTTATCAAATCATTGAAAATATGAATGTATATTCCAACAAAACTAACCTTAAAAAAGGCAAACCACTTGTAGTCATTCAACACAATCTCAAAGCCTTGATTGTAAATGATGGTGAAATGGCCAGAATTGCCAAAGTTATCATATGCCGTATCCAACTTCTTAAGGTGCACCACTACTTCTTTTTCTGGTGGTCCTAAAGAAAAGAAAATGCAAAACAAAGGAAAATTATGTGGACTTCAATGGGAGGTCAAAGCTCCTCTATAATTTCCATTATTTTTAAGCTGCTTTCCTTTCATGCTACTGAATGTGGGTGGATCTGGCTTGTGAATGTATCAGAGTCCCCGTTTTGTTGCCTCCCTCTGTATAATCCCAGAGGGGTCTCAGGCAAGAATGTGAAGCAAAGGCTCAAAAGTACGTCAAGTAGCCCAGCAGGCAGAGAGACCCCAAAAAGTACAGCCACTACCTTCCCAGAGCATCCAAACACTGAAGAAATTTTTCCACTGAGGAAAAGGAGAAATGGGGTATGTTGAAAATGACCAGCAGAAATGAGAAGACAAAATGGTAATCAAAAAGTGGAAATATAAAAAGACTTGCTACCAGATCATAAGAACAAAGGAAATGATCTCTTCAGAGAAGAAATGGGATGGATATCTTTCTTCTAAATGGCTGTACAGTTCAGAACCTCAGAAGCTGAATCCTTTCAAAGTATTCAGCAAACTCAAGGTTTTTATCCTATACAGCTAATTTGTGCCGAATGGAACTAAACTTTTAACTTTCAGAAAATGGGGACTCAGATCTGTGGGTGTCTTTAATTGATTAGATTAAGGTCAAAGGTATGGAATATAGGCAGAGAGGCTGCCTGAAAAGGGTTCTGCTGTGTCCAATCTGGAGGTTTCCACACTTTGGACAATTTTTCCATGTTTCAGATTAATGCTCAGAAATAGGGGATTCCATGTGACAGAACACTGCAAATCCTGATCTCCTTTCTGATTTGGATCTCCAAGTTCAACTTTTAAAAGAGAAAATGGTTATAATGCCCAGTACTATGAAATGCCACACAGTCATTTGGAGTTGGACAGTTGAGTAAGTCTGTTTAGTGACAGATGACCTGGCAATCTCTGTTCCGTTAACAAGGAAACTGCAGTTGAGAGCTTCACTCATTCTGCACAAGCCACAGTGTGGTAAAGGTTTGGGCAGAACGAGAGTGCCTTTCCTGACCCAAGACTGTGTGTTTTTTCTTCTCCCTTCACTAAATTCTTTGTCCTTGGGATAGCCATGTTATCTGAGGGCATATGGAATGTTCCAGGGTGTTCAAACACTAGATATTTATTGAGAGCCTTCCATGATCCCTGGCACTGTGCTTGGCTCTGGGCATTTCAAAATATAATTATTTGCCAAAGAGGTATAAAAAAACCACAAAACTTTTATATACTACTGAGACAGGCTGGGACCTGGGACCCTTTGCTGAAGTGCTGCAATGCTTGCACCTGGACAAACCTCCTCCAGCAATAAAATACAAAGAAACTATACGGGACTAAAAATAACTGCGTGCATGCACGATTGGGCCCCATTATGGACAAAAAGATACAAAAAAGCAAAAAACTTAACTGCCACTTCTGAAGAGCCCTGTGCAAAAACTGGGTGTCCGGAGCAAACACTGGGTATTGCGCATGCCCCCTGCACTCAACACCCCCAGAGGGGTGGGCAAACCACCCAAGCCATCCCTCCCCCCCCCACACTGGACACAGCCCATACCCTCTCCCCATATAAGGAACAAGCTTGTTACTTGTTCTCACTAGCCCTGCTGCAGCAGGGGCCCAATAAAGCCTTGCCTGAATTTCTTGTCTGGCCTGTAGTCAATTTCTGATTGGCGAAGGCCAAGAACCCTGGTGGGTATCACTACCCCCCCTGCAATACATGAAACTGTAGTGGTACCAGAAGCTTTCTCAGGTCCACATCAATATCTCTGGGCTTGGGCTTCCCTGGTGGCGCAGTGGTTGAGAGTCCGCCTGCCGATGCAGGGGACAAGGGTTCGTGCCCTGGTCCGGGAAGATCCCACATGCCGCGGAGCGGCTGAGCCAGTGAGCCACGGCCGCTGAGCCTACGCGTCCGGAGCCTGTGCTCCGCAATGGGAGACGCCACAACAGTGAGAGGCCCGCGTACCGCAAAAAAAAAAAAAAAAAAAAAAAAAAAAAAAAAAAAAAAAAAAAATCTCTGGGCTTAAGGGCTCTTTCCCACAACCTAATAAAAGGAAACTAAAAGCTATATTCTCAAGAGTCTTTGAGCTCATTTTTCACTGGCACAATAAAATACTGCAGATGGGATGAGGAGATAAGATTGCACGGTCTCAACTCTTTAACAAACCAAACAAACCCAAAAACAAGAAACGGAAACCATGGCGGGGGGGGGGAGTTCTTGCAAAAAGTGTTGGGGGCCCGGGAATAACCAAGACCGAGCGAAGTGAGACGTTCTCAGCAGCTCCACGTTGACGTCCCTGCCCTGGAGCAGTAGAGGGCACGGCCCCCATGGACCCCAAGTCCAGCCAGGACCTCCTGGCCTCCCCCTAGCGGGGGCGCTGCAGGGAAGGGCTCAGGGACCAAAGGGAAGGAGCCCCGGGTAGGCACAGGAAGGAAGCGGGTGCAAGGGCGCCGGCGGCTTACCCATAACCGAGCAGTTGACCTCGCGCTGAGAACCGCTGCGGCCCACGTGGAAGACCCAGGTGCCCAGCAGGTCAGGGTAGGTGCAGTTGGCAGGAGTGTCGCAGTGCACGTTGCTAGCGCTGAAGAGGAGCAGCAGGAGGGCGGCGAGCGGCGAGCCGGGCCAGGGACCCATGCTGGCAAGGCCCTTAGGAGAAGTGAGGAAGGCACGCGAGCCACAGCACTGAAGGCGGGGACTGAGGCCACAGCTGCTGTGCTATAGTGCCTTAAAATAGAGGTGCTGGAAACCGGCAACCCGGAGGGGGGCGGGGTCTCGGGGCCGCGGGGGCTGGGCGCCTGCCAGTGGCACCGCCCCTTAGGTAGGGGCTTCTGGAGAGCGCGCCCGTCACCTGGCGGCCGTCGGACCTCAGGCCCAGAGAGCCCAGCTCCAGGTTCAGTTGCCAAGGGACACCTCCAAAGAGGACTGCAGAGCCACAGCTGGTCTGTGCGCGCCCCAGACTGCGCTCCTTCGCTCCTTGAGAAGTAACAGAGAGAGAGAGAGACTAAGAGAAAAAGAGAGAGGAAGAGAGAGAGAGACAGAGAGGTGAGGGGGAGGGGAGGCTAAATGTCAGAGACTGAGAGAAGCGCGGTGAGGGAGGCGGCGGGCGGGGGGGGGGGTACCGAAGGTAGGAAAAAGGCCCAGAGAAAGAGCGACCTAACTAGTGGAGCTTTCTTTTACTCGCTTGTCTTTCCCACTTCGTCCTCATTCAGTTAACTTTTATCCTCAGAACTATTTTACGTGCGACCCCAAGCCAGCCCAGCTGTTTGAGAACTGCTCTTCCTTCCGTTTTCCAAAACTTTCACTTCCTTTTGTTTGCTGGGTTTTGTCGGTTTCCTGTTAATGTTGTTTGCCTGTTATCCACTGGGGAATTCAGTTGTAGTGCAAACTTGCAGTTTTTGTGTATTAGGATTTTTTTCCGCCAGCTAACGTTATAGGATTTAGTTGCGCGCACGCAAACACGCACAGGCACTAACGCCCTTTTTTGCAGCTGAAAAGCGGGTGGCCCAGAGGGGAAGCAAGTCGCCCAGGGTGAGGAAGGGAGCTGGTGGGAGAATGCTGGTCTTATGAGCAGGTTCCAGGGTGTCAGTCTCATCGCCAGTAATTATAAGGTAGCACTATTTCCAGGTGCCTCCTCGTTCAGTTTAATTATCCTCCTTTTCTGTGAGAGCTCCTCTGCCGTTCCTGGCTGTTGTTGGAAGTTGGGGCTCCTTTTGTGCACAGAGCCTTTTAGGTGTCAGGCCCTGTGCAACATCAAGGACAAGTGATGAACAAGACAGACTTTTCTGTGCCCCTGCCCTCTAGGGCACGTGCATTTTGCCCTCAAAACACTGGTTACAAATAAATACTTGGATGTCCACCTTCTCCACCAGATTGTAAGCATTCAAAGGGAGCAAGTCGACATTATTCACCTTTGTCTTCCAAATTCTGGCTTGAAAATACTTAGGAAGTGTCCTGGGGTGTTAAAATAAATGTACTTAATAGCCTTATCTTGGTTTCCAGGCCAGAAAGCCAATTTTGATTTGGCAAAAGGAGTTTCCCTTGAAAGCTCATAAATGAAAATACTCTCTAATGTAGTCACAAACTGCAAAGGCAAGGGTGGAGCCAACACCCTGCTTCTAGGTTTTATTCCCCGTTACTTAGGATGAAAAGCTGAAGCATATAATTAAACTAGCACACTTACTGTTTAGAGATAAACTGACAGAGTAACATTGCCTTCCTCATCTCTGGGAAAATGCGTCATTGGTTGTTAAAACGTTAAAACTTTCGCTAGATCATCAATTTTGAAGAGCTGAACAGTCAAGTTGGAAATTTCTTTGATGGCATGATCAAAGTAGCACAAACAATTGTGAAGAAAGTTGAAAACATCTCTATTCAGTTAATAAATATAAGCGAAAAGGATTTTGGAGGCCTCTTAATCTAATAGATTCATTTTACTATTGGGAAATGAAGATCCAGAGATAATAATAACTTGATGAATGTCACAGTTGCCTTATCAGATGGTCATTCAAATATCATACCTCCATTATTCATGCTAGAAAACTCTTGGTCAAGTTCCCAGCAGAACAAAGTACCTTCCTGTTGATTTATCTAGAAGTTGCATTCCTAAAAATTTGATATATTTAAAATGATATAAAATTCAGTTTATATACAAACCAGATTTTGGTACTAGTCTCAGATCATTATAAGCAGGTTTATAGAGAAGGAGCATTGCGTAGCAGTCGTTCTCAAACTGTGGTCCCAGGACCAAAATGACCAGCAGCATGTGCATCTCCTTGGAATTTGCTAGAAATGCAAATTCCTGACCCCCACCCCATACCTACTGAATCAGGTCCCTGCAATCTAT